TTGTATGTCTGAGTATGTTAGTATGTTTGAGTATGTCTGAGTATGTCTGAGTATGTCTGAGTATGTCTGAGTATGTTTGAGTATGTCTGAGTAAGTTTGAGTATGTTTGAGTATGTCGGAGTATGTTTGAGTATGTCTGAGTATGTTAGTATGTTTGAGTATGTCTGAGTATGTTTGAGTATGTTTGAGTATGTCTGAGTATGTTAGTATGTCTGAGTATGTTAGTATGTTTGAGTATGTCTGAGTATGTTAGTATGTCTGAGTATGTTAGTATGTTTGAGTATATCTGAGTATGTTTGAGTATGTTAGTATGTTTGAGTATGTCTGAGTATGTTTGTATATCTGAGTATGTTAGTATGTTTGAGTATATCTGAGTATGTTTGAGTATGTCTGAGTATGTTAGTATGTTTGAGTATGTCTTAGTATGTTTGTATATCTGAGTATGTTAGTATGTTTGAGTATGTTAGAGTACATCTGAGTATGTTTGAGTATGTCTGAGTATGTTAGTATGTTTGAATATGTCTGAGTATGTTTGTATATCTGAGTATGTTAGTATATCTGAGTATGTTTGAGTATGTCTGAGTATGTTTGAGTATGTTTGAGTATGTTTGAGTATGTCTGAGTATGTTAGTATGTCTGAGCATGTTAGTATGTTTGAGTATATCTGAGTATGTCTGAGTATGTTTGAGTATGTCTGAGTATGTTAGTATGTGTGAGTATGTCAGTATGTTTAAGTATGTTTGAGTATATCTGAGTATGTCTGAGTATATTTGAGTATGTCTGAGTATGTTAGTATGTTTGAGTATGTCTGAGTATGTTTGTATGTCTGAGTATGTTAGTATGTTTGAGTATGTTTGAGTATGTCTGAATATGTCCGAGTATGTCTGAGTATGTTTGAGTATGTCTGAGTAAGTTAGTATGTCTGAGTATGTTAGTATGTTTGAGTATGTCTGAGTATGTTTGTATGTCTGAGTATGTTAGTATGTTTGAGTATGTCTGAGTATGTTTGTATGTCTGAGTATGTTAGTATGTTTGAGTATGTCTGAGTATGTTTGAGTATGTCTGAGTATGTTTGAGTATGTCTGAGTATGTTAGTATGTTTGAGTATGTCTGAGTATGTTTGAGTATGTTAGTATGTCTGAGTATGTTAGTATGTTTGAGTATGTTTGAGTATGTCTGAGTATGTTTGTATGTCTGAGTATGTTAGTATGTTTGAGTATGTCTGAGTATGTTTGAGTATGTCTGAGTATGTTTGTATGTCTGAGTATGTTAGTATGTTTGAGTATGTCTGAGTATGTTTGAGTATGTCTGAGCATGTCTGAGTATGTTTGAGTATGTCTGAGTATGTTAGAATGTTTGAGTATGTCTGAGTATGTCTGAGTATGTTTGTATGTTGTTATTTGATACTTGGAGTTAAAGGGGCCCTGCTGTAATCAAGGCTTGTTTAAATTCAGTGTGAGTCGCTGAGCAAAGTGAAACCTCTAACAACTTTTAAACTAATGTCTGTCTAAAATAGCTCCAACATCATTAAGAGCTCGGGTCATTCTTATTCTAATCTGCTCTGAACACTTTCCTCTCTGTGCGCTGGGACCAGGGGAGCCACCGACCGCTCTGCCCCGTCCAGGCCTTTCCTTTGGGGTGGTCCCAACATCTCCAAACAGCAGCTACAGTCCTGATGCCAGCTCCCTTTCCTTCTTTCCTTTCACAAAAACCTAAACTAGCTGCTTTTTGTTGACTTCTCTGTGGTCGGAGCTGTCAGAGGTTTGTGGCTGACTGTGGGGCTCACAGAGGCTCTGTCCCACTGCAGCAGGTGCAGAGACAAGAGTCAACGACAGCTTTGTCCGGACTGAAGACGTATCACAGTGGGTCGGGTCCAATGATCCTGGACCAGAACAAAATCTGAATGTGGGCAGAGTGTGAGCAGTGTACTTCACATCTGCAGTTAAGATTATTTCATTTAAAGAGGTATTTGATAATTTCTGGACACTCAAAGATGCTTCACGTGTCATTATTCATTCACTCCAAACATAACCATAAACCATTACTTTAGCCACAGCTGCCCTGGGGCACACTGACAGAAGTGAGGCAACCAGTCTGTGCCATCGGCCCCTCCCACCACCACCAACCATACACACTCACACCAGACTCATTTAATGTCCTTATGGGTCTGAGGGGATCTGGCTTCCGCATGTAAGTTTGGCCTCATGATATCTCATTATTGTGTGAATTAACCTCTTAAACTCCTACATCTGTTTTGGCTCGTGCACAAAAGTTTGGCATACCCAAAAGTCTTTGCTTATTTAAAAACACATCTTACATCTCACATGGTTGTGTGATGCATCATTTTAAAGCTAGGCCCTTCTAGTTTATGTAAATATACACTAAAATAATGTATGTCATTCCTATTTTACTCTGCATCCTTTGAAGTTTGGGGAAAAAACCTGTTTTTTTTTTTAGCCTCGCCTAAGAAATTCAATGTATAAATGCCCTAAAAAAGCTTACTTCATTGGAAGAAGAACATTTTCAACGCCAATTTGTTCATTGTGTTGTTGACAACAACTGTGTAAAGTTTCAAACTTCTAAGTTTTATAGTTTTTATGCAGTTTCTCTTTTTTTATCAAGTAGTGCCATTCGGAACCAATTTGGCAAAATGTGTGCCAAATTGTGCCAAACTGCTTTACTAACATTTCACCATCATAAAAAGCATATTTTTTAGTTTTGGTTTTAGTAGTGTAAATGCATATAAAATATGCACAGCAGAACTAACAGTGTCTTTACGCACGCTTTTACTGTGAAAATGAAAAGAGTTCCTTCAAGTCCCACCCATCAAAAGAAAGCTCTTTTTATTGGCTACTTAGACACGTCAATCATTCAGAGCTAGCTCATAGCGCTAGCCTGTAATCAACAACAAGGGAAAAAGGACCCTGTGCAGGTGGATGCGGTTCGTCTTTTTCACAAGGGTCCTGCGGACTGAAACCTGCTCCTATCTTTTCATGGAACCTCTCTTTTTGAAGCTAAGGACTCAAGGAACACGTGGATATGATGTTTGTGGCTAAACAAAGCTCAAACTTGGTGAAATGTGAAAGAGAAGCCTGAACCTCTTTCGGAACAGAAAAATGCACATTGTTGGATTATTTCTGAAGAATGGATTATACTTTGGGAAATACAAGTGGATATTGTTTTTCACTGAAGACTTACGGAGAGAAAGAGACTGAGCAAGGACGGGGAAAGTCTAATTTGTTGGAGCAGCAGAAGACGAAAGGTAAGAAACTTATACAAACACGATTTATTTTGTGCTAATATTATGCGTTATATCTTTTTAATGCAAGTTAATAAGTCTGATATCGTTTACACTTACATATAAATATAGCTGAGAAAATAAGCTTTAAAATGATATATAGCTTGTGGTTTATGAAGTTCAAAATACATCTGCTATTGCCAGCGGATGTATTTTTTTTCTCGTTTGGCTTGCGAGCTTAAGTGGAATCGCAGAATCAGAGACTGTCGTGGGGATGTCGGCCGACAATAAAAATAAATAATTGTTTAGTGACATCATAAAGTGGGTTTGGAGTCACACATGATCGCACTGAACAACAGCTGCATAAGGAAACATCTGAACAAGTTGGGGCTATTTTCTGTTATTACACAGTTTGTAGATTTGATGCATTAGTGGACCAGGTGTGTTGGACCATGTGTTACAGACACAGACCATCGGGACACACTGCTGCTGGTCCGGCTGTGTTTCTATGTGTCTCATAATCATTTGGACATTCACATTTCATTGAATTAGTTTCTCTGGACAGGACTGTGTGCTGCTCTTCTGCTGTGAACCTCTAGGATCATTATTATCATGATCTCAGAGTTAGATAAGTATCATTGTTGTTAAAGCTGAGTCTACTGTACTTTAGTGTCGTCCTGGAGACGCCACGTGACGCATGAATCATGAGAGGAAGTCTTCACTTCCACAGAACAGGATGTTTAAAGAATCCTTCGCTCCATCTTTAACGTTTGTTCTGTAATAAATTTGAAAACAGTGTCCACGGCCAACAATCTCCTCTGTTTCAAACTGCTCTGGTCTTCTTCACAAACCAGACACATCCCACATTCTCTGATCCATCCATAATGAGAACCTGTTTGAGAGCACTCTTAGTCCTTTCACTGAAAGCTCCTGCTGATTCTGCTGCTTTCAAAACCGCAAATTAAAAATTATCCTCAAATTAGAATATAACTAAAATTAAAAATTACAACTTTGAATATATTATTATAAAACACATTATTTTGCTGATCTGGATCGGAGCCCGAGGTTTGGGCCTCAGTGGAGCTAATTTATTATGTTCTGAAGTAGTCCTTTTTCATCAATTCTTTCTATAAAAGATGAAACATGGAATTCTATGGCTTGTTTAAATAAAGGGTAAATCAAATCATTCTTCTGTATTTTGTTTTTAATATAATACTTTACTGGAAACTCCTGCAGTAACTGAGCATAACTTGTTTTCACGTCTGTCTTCATGGATCAAAGGAAAACATTTCCTATTCCTTTAATCTTGTTCTTGCATTGGCTCAGACCAGTGACGCTGTCTCGGTCCCAAACCAGGAAGGCCCTGGACCATAAATCAGCCTAAAGTCCTGGAGACAGAAGTCATGGATCATTCACAATAGTTTCATTAAATCCACATCAATCCGACACTTCTGCTCCGGACGCTCCCACGGTGCGTTCAAGGACGTGGGAAAAACCTGCACACACTTTGTAATGTTTGCTCAAGCTACTGCTATTTGCACAGGAACAAAGCTGCACTGGTCTGCTCTGGTCTGCTCTGGTCTGTTCTGGTCTGTTCTGGTCTGCTCTGGTCTGCTCTGGTCTGTTCTGGTCTGTTCTGGTCTGCACTGGTCTGCTCTGGTCTGCACTGGTCTGCACTGGTCTGCACTGGTCCCACTGGCACCAGATGAAACAAATAGGTCTAAAGGGTATTCCAAGGAACTAATCTCAAAGTGTATGACCCATGACCTCAGGACCAGGAGGAGACATTTTGGACCAAACATGTGTAATCACGAGAGCTGTCGCAGAAAAACATATTCTCTCAGAGCAACACAGCACTGGCAGAGGGATGGGAGACCTTAGGCCTTGGTCGCAGCAGAGGGATGGGAGACCTCAGGCCTTGGTCGCAGCAGAGGTATGGGAGACCTCAGGCTTTGGTCGCAGCAGAGGGATGGGAGACCTCAGGCCTTGGTCGCAGCAGGGGGATGGGAGACCTCAGGCTTTGGTCGCAGCAGAGGGATGGGAGACCTTAGGCTTTGGTCGCAGCAGAGGGATGGGAGACCTTAGGCCTTGGTCGCAGCAGAGGGATGGGAGACCTTAGGCTTTGGTCGCAGCAGAGGGATGGGAGACCTTAGGCTTTGGTCGCAGCAGAGAGATGGGAGACCTTAGGCTTTGGTCGCAGCAGAGGGATGGGAGACCTTAGGCCTTGGTCGCAGCAGAGGAATGGGAGACCTTAGGCTTTGGTCGCAGCAGAGGAATGGGAGACCTTAGGCTTTGGTCGCAGCAGAGGAATGGGAGACCTTAGGCCTTGGTCGCAGCAGAGGAATGGGAGACCTTAGGCCTTGGTCGCAGCAGAGGAATGGGAGACCTTAGGCCTTGGTCGCAGCAGAGGGATGGGAGACCTTAGGCTTTGGTCGCAGCAGAGGGATGGGAGACCTTAGGCCTTGGTCGCAGCAGAGGGATGGGAGACCTTAGGCCTTGGTCGCAGCAGAGGGATGGGAGACCTTAGGCTTTGGTCGCAGCAGAGGGATGGGAGACCTTAGGCTTTGGTCGCAGCAGAGGGATGGGAGACCTTAGGCTTTGGTCGCAGCAGAGGGATGGGAGACCTTAGGCCTTGGTCGCAGCAGAGGGATGGGAGACCTTAGGCTTTGGTCGCAGCAGAGGGATGGGAGACCTTAGGCTTTGGTCGCAGCAGAGGGATGGGAGACCTTAGGCCTTGGTCGCAGCAGAGGGATGGGAGACCTTAGGCCTTGGTCGCAGCAGAGGGATGGGAGACCTTAGGCTTTGGTCGCAGCAGAGGGATGGGAGACCTTAGGCTTTGGTCGCAGCAGAGGGATGGGAGACCTTAGGCCTTGGTCGCAGCAGAGGGATGGGAGACCTTAGGCCTTGGTCGCAGCAGAGGGATGGGAGACCTTAGGCCTTGGTCGCAGCAGAGGGATGGGAGACCTTAGGCCTTGGTCGCAGCAGAGGGATGGGAGACCTTAGGCCTTGGTCGCAGCAGAGGGATGGGAGACCTCAGGCCTTGGTCGCAGCAGAGGGATGGGAGACCTTAGGCCTTGGTCGCAGCAGAGGGATGGGAGACCTTAGGCCTTGGTCGCAGCAGAGGGATGGGAGACCTTAGGCCTTGGTCGCAGCAGAGGGATGGGAGACCTCAGGCCTTGGTCGCAGCAGAGGGATGGGAGACCTTAGGCCTTGGTCGCAGCAGAGGGATGGGAGACCTTAGGCCTTGGTCGCAGCAGAGGAATGGGAGACCTTAGGCTTTGGTCGCAGCAGAGGGATGGGAGACCTCAGGCCTTGGTCGCAGCAGAGGGATGGGAGACCTTAGGCCTTGGTCGCAGCAGAGGAATGGGAGACCTTAGGCTTTGGTCGCAGCAGAGGAATGGGAGACCTTAGGCCTTGGTCGCAGCAGAGGAATGGGAGACCTTAGGCCTTGGTCGCAGCAGAGGGATGGGAGACCTCAGGCCTTGGTCGCAGCAGAGGGATGGGAGACCTCAGGCCTTGGTCGCAGCAGAGGGATGGGAGACCTCAGGCCTTGGTCGCAGCAGAGGGATGGGAGACCTCAGGCCTTGGTCGCAGCAGAGGGATGGGAGACCTTAGGCCTTGGTCGCAGCAGAGGGATGGGAGACCTTAGGCCTTGGTCGCAGCAGAGGAATGGGAGACCTTAGGCTTTGGTCGCAGTAGAGGAATGGGAGACCTTAGGCCTTGGTCGCAGCAGAGGGATGGGAGACCTCAGGCCTTGGTCGCAGCAGAGGAATGGGAGACCTTAGGCCTTGGTCGCAGCAGAGGAATGGGAGACCTTAGGCCTTGGTCGCAGCAGAGGAATGGGAGACCTTAGGCTTTGGTCGCAGCAGAGGAATGGGAGACCTTAGGCTTTGGTCGCAGCAGAGGAATGGGAGACCTTAGGCCTTGGTCGCAGCAGAGGGATGGGAGACCTCAGGCCTTGGTCGCAGCAGAGGAATGGGAGACCTTAGGCTTTGGTCGCAGCAGAGAGATGGGACACCTCAGGCCTTGGTCGCAGCAGAGAGATGGGAGACCTCAGACTTTGGTCGCAGCAGAGGGATGGGACACCTCAGGCCTTGGTCGCAGCAGAGAGATGGGAGACCTCAGGCCTTGGTCGCAGCAGGGGGATGGGAGACCTTAGGCTTTGGTCGCAGCAGAGGGATGGGAGACCTTAGGCCTTGGTCGCAGCAGAGGGATGGGAGACCTCAGGCCTTGGTCGCAGCAGAGAGATGGGAGACCTTAGGCTTTGGTCGCCGCAGAGAGATGGGAGACCTCAGACTTTGGTCGCAGCAGAGAGATGGGACACCTCAGGCCTTGGTCGCAGCAGAGGGATGGGAGACCTTAGGCTTTGGTCGCAGCAGAGAGATGGGAGACCTCAGGCCTTGGTCGCAGCAGAGAGATGGGAGACCTCAGACTTTGGTCGCAGCAGAGGGATGGGACACCTCAGGCCTTGGTCGCAGCAGAGAGATGGGAGACCTCAGACTTTGGTCGCAGCAGAGGGATGGGACACCTCAGGCCTTGGTCGCAGCAGAGAGATGGGAGACCTCAGGCCTTGGTCGCAGCAGGGGGATGGGAGACCTTAGGCTTTGGTCGCAGCAGAGGGATGGGAGACCTTAGGCTTTGGTCGCAGCAGAGGGATGGGACACCTCAGGCCTTGGTCGCAGCAGAGAGATGGGAGACCTCAGGCCTTGGTCGCAGCAGGGGGATGGGAGACCTTAGGCTTTGGTCACAGCAGAGGGATGGGAGACCTTAGGCTTTGGTCGCAGCAGAGGGATGGGAGACCTTAGGCTTTGGTCGCAGCAGAGAGATGGGAGACCTCAGGCCTTGGTCGCAGCAGAGAGATGGGAGACCTCAGACTTTGGTCGCAGCAGAGGGATGGGACACCTCAGGCCTTGGTCGCAGCAGAGAGATGGGAGACCTCAGACTTTGGTCGCAGCAGAGGGATGGGAGACCTCAGGCCTTGGTCGCAGCAGGGGGATGGGAGACCTTAGGCTTTGGTCGCAGCAGAGGGATGGGAGACCTTAGGCTTTGGTCGCAGCAGAGGGATGGGACACCTCAGGCCTTGGTCGCAGCAGAGGGATGGGACACCTCAGGCTTTGGTCGCAGCAGAGGGATGGGAGACCTTAGGCTTTGGTCGCAGCAGAGGGATGGGAGACCTCAGGCTTTGGTCGCAGCAGAGAGATGGGAGACCTTAGGCTTTGGTCGCAGCAGAGGGATGGGACACCTCAGGCTTTGGTCGCAGCAGAGAGATGGGAGACCTTAGGCTTTGGTCGCAGCAGAGGGATGGGACACCTCAGGCTTTGGTCGCAGCAGAGGGATGGGAGACCTCAGGCCTTGGTCGCAGCAGGGGGATGGGAGACCTTAGGCTTTGGTCACAGCAGAGGGATGGGAGACCTTAGGCTTTGGTCGCAGCAGAGGGATGGGAGACCTTAGGCCTTGGTCGCAGCAGAGGGATGGGAGACCTCAGGCTTTGGTCGCAGCAGAGGGATGGGAGACCTTAGGCTTTGGTCGCAGCAGAGGGATGGGAGACCTCAGTCTTTGGTCGCAGCAGAGGGATGGGAGACCTTAGGCCTTGGTCGCAGCAGGGGGATGGGAGACCTTAGGCTTTGGTCGCAGCAGAGGAATGGGAGACCTCAGGCCTTGGTCGCAGCAGAGGGATGGGAGACCCTAGGCCTTGGTCGCAGCAGAGGAATGGGAGACCTTAGGCTTTGGTCGCAGCAGAGGAATGGGAGACCTTAGGCTTTGGTCGCAGCAGAGGTATGGGAGACCTCAGGCTTTGGTCGCAGCAGAGAGATGGGAGACCTTAGGCTTTGGTCGCAGCAGAGGGATGGGAGACCTCAGGCCTTGGTCGCAGCAGAGAGATGGGAGACCTTAGGCCTTGGTCGCAGCAGAGGGATGGGAGACCTCAGGCTTTGGTCGCAGCAGAGGGATGGGAGACCTCAGGCCTTGGTCGCAGCAGAGAGATGGGAGACCTCAGACTTTGGTCGCAGCAGAGGGATGGGACACCTCAGGCCTTGGTCGCAGCAGAGAGATGGGAGACCTCAGACTTTGGTCGCAGCAGAGGGATGGGAGACCTCAGGCCTTGGTCGCAGCAGGGGGATGGGAGACCTTAGGCTTTGGTCGCAGCAGAGGGATGGGAGACCTTAGGCTTTGGTCGCAGCAGAGGGATGGGACACCTCAGGCCTTGGTCGCAGCAGAGGGATGGGACACCTCAGGCTTTGGTCGCAGCAGAGGGATGGGAGACCTTAGGCTTTGGTCGCAGCAGAGGGATGGGAGACCTCAGGCTTTGGTCGCAGCAGAGAGATGGGAGACCTTAGGCTTTGGTCGCAGCAGAGGGATGGGACACCTCAGGCTTTGGTCGCAGCAGAGAGATGGGAGACCTTAGGCTTTGGTCGCAGCAGAGGGATGGGACACCTCAGGCTTTGGTCGCAGCAGAGGGATGGGAGACCTCAGGCCTTGGTCGCAGCAGGGGGATGGGAGACCTTAGGCTTTGGTCACAGCAGAGGGATGGGAGACCTTAGGCTTTGGTCGCAGCAGAGGGATGGGAGACCTTAGGCCTTGGTCGCAGCAGAGGGATGGGAGACCTCAGGCTTTGGTCGCAGCAGAGGGATGGGAGACCTTAGGCTTTGGTCGCAGCAGAGGGATGGGAGACCTCAGTCTTTGGTCGCAGCAGAGGGATGGGAGACCTTAGGCCTTGGTCGCAGCAGGGGGATGGGAGACCTTAGGCTTTGGTCGCAGCAGAGGAATGGGAGACCTCAGGCCTTGGTCGCAGCAGAGGGATGGGAGACCCTAGGCCTTGGTCGCAGCAGAGGAATGGGAGACCTTAGGCTTTGGTCGCAGCAGAGGAATGGGAGACCTTAGGCTTTGGTCGCAGCAGAGGTATGGGAGACCTCAGGCTTTGGTCGCAGCAGAGAGATGGGAGACCTTAGGCTTTGGTCGCAGCAGAGGGATGGGAGACCTCAGGCCTTGGTCGCAGCAGAGAGATGGGAGACCTTAGGCTTTGGTCGCAGCAGAGGGATGGGAGACCTTAGGCTTTGGTCGCAGCAGAGAGATGGGAGACCTAAGGCTTTGGTCGCAGCAGAGGGATGGGAGACCTTAGGCTTTGGTCGCAGCAGAGGGATGGGAGACCTCAGGCCTTGGTCGCAGCAGGGGGATGGGAGACCTTAGGCTTTGGTCGCAGCAGAGGGATGGGAGACCTTAGGCTTTGGTCGCAGCAGAGGGATGGGACACCTCAGGCCTTGGTCGCAGCAGAGGGATGGGACACCTCAGGCTTTGGTCGCAGCAGAGGGATGGGAGACCTTAGGCTTTGGTCGCAGCAGAGGGATGGGAGACCTCAGGCTTTGGTCGCAGCAGAGAGATGGGAGACCTTAGGCTTTGGTCGCAGCAGAGGGATGGGACACCTCAGGCTTTGGTCGCAGCAGAGAGATGGGAGACCTTAGGCTTTGGTCGCAGCAGAGGGATGGGACACCTCAGGCTTTGGTCGCAGCAGAGGGATGGGAGACCTCAGGCCTTGGTCGCAGCAGGGGGATGGGAGACCTTAGGCTTTGGTCACAGCAGAGGGATGGGAGACCTTAGGCTTTGGTCGCAGCAGAGGGATGGGAGACCTTAGGCCTTGGTCGCAGCAGAGGGATGGGAGACCTCAGGCTTTGGTCGCAGCAGAGGGATGGGAGACCTTAGGCTTTGGTCGCAGCAGAGGGATGGGAGACCTCAGTCTTTGGTCGCAGCAGAGGGATGGGAGACCTTAGGCCTTGGTCGCAGCAGGGGGATGGGAGACCTTAGGCTTTGGTCGCAGCAGAGGAATGGGAGACCTCAGGCCTTGGTCGCAGCAGAGGGATGGGAGACCCTAGGCCTTGGTCGCAGCAGAGGAATGGGAGACCTTAGGCTTTGGTCGCAGCAGAGGGATGGGAGACCTTAGGCTTTGGTCGCAGCAGAGGTATGGGAGACCTCAGGCTTTGGTCGCAGCAGAGAGATGGGAGACCTTAGGCTTTGGTCGCAGCAGAGGGATGGGAGACCTCAGGCCTTGGTCGCAGCAGAGAGATGGGAGACCTTAGGCTTTGGTCGCAGCAGAGGGATGGGAGACCTCAGGCTTTGGTCGCAGCAGAGGGATGGGAGACCTTAGGCCTTGGTCGCAGCAGAGGGATGGGAGACCTTAGGCTTTGGCTGATCCAATCAGCCAGAACATGTGATCATTAAACACTCTGTCTTCTGCCTACGACGATAATTATAATGTGAGTCACTTTTTGATGATTTTGAGCTGATTGTTCAAGTGAGAACGGTGAGAACGGTCCTGTGTTTTAGGTTTCCGTCTGAAAGAGTTTGTCTAAAGAAGTGACAGAGACGTTTGTGTGAAAAGTGAAGGAGCGAGGAAAAAGGGAGATTGACTTTTTTCAATTGAAAGTTAGTCCCCCCAGCTTTAGTCTGATTTGTTTGCGATCATCAAGATTTAGTTAAGATATGCTTTATTTGTCCCACAGTGGGGAAATTTCAGTGTTGCATCACAAGCTAAAGAACAGTAGGAAAGAGGAGCTCACAGCAGAAGATAAGTGATACTATACTGGCTCCATAACTCTGGGCCTCTGCGGGTCACTTAGACCTTTCTCTGTCTAACTCTGGTCCAGGTCTGACTCTGGTCTGACACTTCCCCCCGTCCTGGGACCCCGATGATGGATGAGTCTGTATCTTCTCCGCTGCAGCAGCCGTTGGCTCAGTCCCTCTTTCTGTGCCTTCATGAAAAGCTTGGCTCCCTCTGTGTCAGAACGGGACGTGCCTGGTCCGGAGCCTGGTCCGGAGCCTGGTCCGGAGCCTGGTCCGGAGCCTGGTCCGGAGCCTGGTCCGGAGCCTGGTCCGGAGCCTGGTCCGGAGCCTGGTCCGGAGCCTGGTCCGGAGCCTGGTCCGGAGCCTGGTCCGGAGCCTGGTCCGGAGCCTTTAGGCCGCTCTCTGTCCCGTTGATGGATGACTTGGGGTTTGTTGAACAGGATCCAAAAGGTCCAATGGGCTGCGAGCCTATGAACAGAGGAGGATCATTTTTTCCAATGTGGTTTTACTGCAAATGGCAAATAAATGAATCTGAATCTGATAAAGAAGGGTTCAGAGACCACATACGAATGAATGTGGGTTAAAGCTGGGGGACCTAACTTTCAAACCAGAAACATTTAGAGTAACTCAATAAAGTCCTTTTAACTAGATCCTGGATTTAAAACAGTTTTGACTGTGTGTGTTTTGGCTTCAGTCGCTTCAAACAGAAGAGTGAGAAGATGACCACCCTGACTCAGTGTCAAACAGTGACTCGAAGGTTCTTTCTTACCAAGATAAATGTTGTGGCCTGATTTGTTTTCACAGAATATTACTTTTACAGGACTCTTTCTATTGGAACAAACAAACTAGGAACCATAGAAGCAGGACTTTGGCATTGGGCTGTGGCACTTTGACCTTTGACAAATTGCTTCGAGATATCATTATTTAACCAGATGAACAGAGTATCTGATAATAATCTCCACATAATATCAAGTAGATTTTAATGAAACATTGTCTTAATCCACATTCACAGCAGTGTATTGTGTTCAGCGTTAGTGTAAAGTGCTGCCTCCCAACACTTCTGCAGATTCTAATGACCTCCTGTTTTCCTTTAGAAATATTTCTTCTTCTTTGTTGTTGTTTTGGAACAATGTGGCCCAGTGTGGACTTTATCTGAGCACAAGAAGCTCTAACCTTTTCAAGTCAAGGTTCCCAGCCACAGAAGTGTCTTTGTATCGCGCTGATGGAGGTCAGGGCGGCTCCTGACTGCACACGGCACCTTTATCACTCTGTAACCAGGGAAAGCAACTGGGAGCTACAACCATAATACTTCAGTTACTTTGGCCTCCTGCGTTGATGATCAATAATAATTTAACAAAAAAAAAAAAAAAACTGCCAAAATAAAGCTTTTAATAAAACAAAGTCCAAAACTCCAAAGTAACCAGGACAGAACATGACTAAACAATGGACCAGCAACAAGGGGAAGCACAGGTACATATAGACAGAGACACAGGTACATTTAGACACAGACACAGGTACATTTAGACACAGACACACAGGTACATATAGACACAGGTACATTTAGACACAGACACAGGTACAT